TACTTTCAAAAAAAATTCCAAAACTAATACAAATACTATACATGGCTCCATGGTACCTTACATATATGAATTTACAGCTAAAGTGACCAATGTTAAAATAACTCATCAGCCATTATCGCCATCTGTTGGTGGTGGTTGGAGTGCATTCCACTTTCCATAGCATTGTCTCCCGAAGGAGAACTTTTAAAAGGCTGCAGGTTCCCTTGTAGAGAGGAGAATGCAATGAACTGTACTAGATAAAGTCTGTAAGAATACACACCAATATGCTTACTCAAGATTTTGAAGTGATTTTAATTTTTCCAGCCTACTTTTCTGGGTCCTCTAATTGCAATAGCATGTGTTGCTTTTGTAATTAAAATTAATTAACAAGAAAGGCAGTATTTAGAAGAGACTCGGTAATAGAAGCAGCGGAGAACATTTTTTATTAAGTGCAAATTAAAATGTTTGATTATATATTATACCAGATGAAAGAGGAGATGTAAGTGGAAACAGGAGAGAAATGAGGAAAGCTATGGTTGAGACTAAAGAAATTGTGGGTAGATCCCAAGCAAAAGATTTTATCAGCTATCTTCACTTGGTCCGGTAGGTCTAGATGTAAATTTTTATGTGTTATCTTCTCCCTTTGAAATTGTAATTATGCAGTCACATCCCTTAATTGCTGTTTATCTTTTTACTCTCAAAACCGCTTCTGGAGTGAATTACCTACCTTTATCAAGAATATCACAGTCTAGGTAGTGAGAGCTATGGTCTGAGTCCTGTTACTCTGAAACTGAATAAAACCTAAAGAATCTACATAGACACATTTTTCCATGAGATCCTGTGACTTGCTTTCTTGGGCATTCACCTTTTTAGTGTTCTTAGAGTATAAATTCTGCCAGTCACAATTCTATTTACTCCAGTAAATTGTATGTCCATGTTTCTTAATGTGGATCTTTTTTTTAAGCAAATTAAACTGTGACTAGGAAAATAGAGAGAGGAAAGTCTGGTTGCTTTATCAGTTTGTACCCAGGTATCCGTTAATCCTGTAAGGCATTGTCGAATACCAGTAGAATTAGGTTAAATGTGAATTATATCCTCTATTATGGAAGCTTATTGCAAGTAAAGCAACAAAGGGAGATAGTGACTTTGCAATCCTGCTGCCCCTTAAGGGACACCATTTGGTATGTAGCTCTTCCCCACATTCTAGATGGGGCTCGTTCCTGGCCCTTTTCTTATACCATCAGAACTACTTCTTCTGTACACTATTCCTGCATTCACTTATTGAGCTAACTAGGGCATGTGTGATTTACTGTTACATCTTCCCAGTTCCAGGGCTTACATTTTAAAAAATTTTACTGTACTTATTGTGGGGCCTTGTATTTAATGGGAGCCTTTTGCTTTGCAATAGTGAACAGCCCAAAATGGAAAATATTTTGCGAGGGGGAACCTCTTCAGCTCCCTTCAGATAACTCCTGTCAAGCAGCTCCCGTGACCCAGTCGCTTGCAGGACCCAGTCGCTTGCATAGACCCAGTCGCTTGCATAGACCCAGTCGCTTGCATAGACCCATAGACAGAGTGAAAGCTGTTTTCTGACTTTCTGTGAAATCACGGCCTCTCATTCTTAACCCACAAATTGTGATGAAAACCACAGTGGAAAGTGAAGCAGCTGAAGTTCAGAAATTTCTCTTCTGTTTTCTTATCCCTCTTTTAATCATGAGTTGAAACTTGATGGTTTCATACGATAAAAACAAACAAAAACTTGCTTGGGCTTGAAAATTGAATATTTCTGTAAGCAGTAGAAAGCGATAGAAGAAGGTATCTATTCTTTTATACTCTGAGAATATAAAAGAAACATTATTCCTCAAAATAATTTAATAAATACATTGCAGTGAGAATTTAAATACCATTCATTTTTGAGCTTTGGGATTTTAGACAAGAGATTATGCTCAAAACTTCAGTGAGTTGTTTTCCCACTTACAAAAATGCAAACAATACCTCATGAAATTACAAAGTTCAGTGACATCAACATGAAGAATACCTGGCACAATGCCAAGAACATAAGTAGAACCTCGATAAATGTAATCCCCTTTCTGGTTTCTTATAAAATACCCTACTGAATGGTTGAGAAGATTAGGAATGGTTTCATGGAAAGTATTGTGTTTCAATATGTGTTTAAGATCAAGCGTGAGTAGAATGGGGTAATAGATGAGAGAGACGTGTTTAAGCAGTGGTTGAGTGTTGCATGCGGCAGATAGGTCTTCTTGAAAGGGCTAGAGCAGGCATGTCCAGCTGCCAGTTGCCTCCTTATTTCTTTAATGTTATAATAACAAATATTAAAAATGAAAGGTGCTTTGTTATTTATATACTTTAACTGTACTATACATTTACTATATCCTAGAATAGTTCCCCTTCACTAACTGTGGCTCAGGCAAGCCAAAAGCTGAGACATGCCTGGACTAGAGACTGGAAGCGAGGAAAACCATGCAGTGCTTCTTGCTTACGTCTAGACACAATATAGGGAAGGAGTGAATTTTGGAAACATCAAAGACAAACCACAGCGGGTTATTGACTGATGACTGACCAGATTCAGGGATGACTGATCTGATGCTATCTCAAGGACCCTGAGCTTCTGGAAAAATGGGAAATATGTGTAGCCATACCAGGCAGGGCATCACATGCCTGTAATCCTAGTACTCTGGGGGACCTACACAAGAACATGGCAAGTTCAGGCCCAACCTGAGCAACCTAGTAAGACCCGGTTTTAATATAAAAAGTAAAAGGGGCTAGGTAGATAGACTAGTGCAAAAGCTCCAGGTTCAATTTCTAGTGCTGTCCTCCCCCTCAAAAAGAGGAAACACAAAACCCAGGAGGAAGAACTTGGCATTATGAGAGGAGGTTCACTAGTTACAGTTGTGCTGCCAATTATCCTACAGAAAGGAAGAGTTAGGGATCAGATACTAAACTTGACAGAAATACTCAGTTAAGGAGGAGGAAGAGGCCAAATCGTACCTCAGAGGTATGTCCAGAAAGGAGAATAAAGTCCACGCCAAAAAGTACCAGGCTCCACAGGCCAAGAGAGGTACAACTGGCATCGATGTGGAAGTGAAGGCTAATGTCACTTGTAGCAGAGATCCAAGAGAGCCAAGAGCAAGATGGGGCTTGCAAAGATTAAGTGTCAACGCTGCCAAGGGTTTTTTCTCTTTCCCCCTTCCCACATCTCTATTTTTCCAGCTCTCCTGTCATTAAAGTTTGAAGACAAAACCAGGGCATTGAAGGCCACTCTTGTACCTTCTTTGAAATATCCTTCTGGTTGATTGACAAAAGGCCCTAAACTCTGAGACTTCAGATAGAGTCTGTTAATCTCTAAGATTTTCAGTCCTCTTATTCTAAATTGGAGTCATACCAACATTTACCCCTGCTTTTGGAAAGGTATTTGGCAGGCATAAAGTATAAGAATGCTTTCATTGAAAATTTGTGCAGGTGAGAGAGTGCCAGTAAATACCAAGCATAAAAGCTAGGTAGATAAATGATTGCTAAAACATAGTCTTTAAATCACTTGGTTTTTATCATTCATGAATTTTTCAAAATATTTTGTAAGCTTAGCGATCTGCGTTAATATTGTTATAAATACACAGAATTTCTGCAGGGGATTGAAGGTGTTTGTGCACCTTTGTGTCTTTTGGATATAGTGAGCATTTGAAACTTAAATTTTCTGTACTTTCATGCCTACTTAGTAATCTTTGGATACTTGATTACACAGAGTGAAAATGGGGAAAATAACCAGAGGAAGAAGGTGGCTATGACCATTAGTTTCTCCAGACAAATACATTTCAGCTGATTTATGTGCATAAAAAAGAAGTCTACAATATTTAGAGTGTTTTACAATGCTCTACCGATACTTTTATTTCCTAAGACTTTTAAGACTCAGTTCTCAAAATCAATCACAAGAAAAGTATACTGGAGCAAATATGGAATTTTTTTAAGTTAATTTGTAGGAAATCAGAATTCTGTAATTTACCATGCATAAATGAGAAAACTTGAGTCACATATACATGAAATAAGTTGCGCATTGCTACTAAAGTTTTACTTTGACTTTTAGGAAAGCTTTTTGTAATTTTTTTCAAAGATGCCTTCCCTCCTGCAGTTTTTACAAGATGGGAATAGATAGCAGTACTTTTCTGCCAGGCTTACACCATAAGAGGTTTTGAGTTCAGTGCATGTATTTAAAATATACAGTTACTTCATTTTCTGTAGCAGTGCACTGAATTTTAATGTTCTGCATGTTTTCCATCTCCTCCCACTTGAGACACATTAAGGCATTTGAACACAGTTCTCATAAATACTCTCATAAAATTAATAATTAGTCCCAGTTCACTGTTTGTCTTCTCAATTGTCCGTTTCTTACATGTGTTCATGCACACAGCTTTGTCTACTTTATAGTTATTATAACTGATATAAAGGTTTGTTAAGAAATATATCTAAAAGTAAAAGCCTTTAGTTTAAACAAATGCCTTTTATACTATTACGTTAAACTGTACAGGTGTGCACTTCTACCCTTCCGTAATCACATCCTGCATCTATGGAGCAGTCTATAGAACCAAAAAGAATAAGTAATGCAGGCAGCTTTTCTGCCATTTGAAAAAAAGGCTATATGGGTCATAGAAGTTTAATAGTTCTTCAGCCATGCATTTAGTTTTGTATTTGATCACAGATACGGTGATACTAGAAGAAAATGTTTTATATATATAAAGCTCATATGCCTTGTTTTTGTTCCAAGGTTATTAGGTAAGTGCCTGTTCTTCAAAGCTAAACATCAAACTAACCCAGAATCTCAAAGGGAAAGTTTGGCTTTGTCCTTTTTTTAGGTTAATTTTTTTAGCATTTCCATTGCCTGCCCCTTCGCAAAGAACATTTTGTTTGTTATCTGTTTAAAGTTTAAAGTTTGCAGATGTTTGAAAAGTATGTGTATTCTTTGTATTTAGACATTAATAAGAGTTCTATTTTTTCTTTTATTTCTTTAGATATGGAAAAATAGTCTCCACAAAGGCAATTTTGGATAAGACAACAAACAAATGCAAAGGTATGTTTCTATGCTGGATTACTTCCTAAATCATGGCTTTAGACAAATGCAAATGGTGGAATTTTAAACCTGATCTTAGGTTTCAGAATTCCTCCCATTTTATTAAAAACCAAATCTAACGTGTCGCCCAGTTTCTGTCTTGCACAATATTAGCATATTGCTTACGTTTATTTTTGTCCCTAGTTGAGTTTTGGCTGGAATGTCGACAGCTACTAGCCATTTGCCAGAAATCCAAATTTGGCACCAGTAGAGTTAACACACAAAATACTAGTTGGCATTTAGCCCCTGCTTTTAAAGGGGGAGTAGAGTTAGAAAATAGCTTTTCTCTCCTAAGCCTGAGGAGATTAGAGCTGCTTACTGAAGACCATTGGACTGTACTAAAGAACTGAAATGATTACATATTGTGCAAATTGGCTCTATTAATTAGAATAGAGTAGTTTTAAGCAGTACTTAATTACATGTTTCAATACTCCCGATTGTTCTCTGCTGAATGCCTGTTGACAATATTGGCAGCAGGGAGAAGAGAACCATTTTCACTGACCAAATTTGTAATAGGGAGGGGAGGTCATGTGGCCCTTTGAAATATGCTGCTGCATTAATTTGATGCACTGACCTTCAGATTTCCGTATAATTAGGATGAGCTCATCCAGCTCCATGAGCTGGAAGAGGAGACGTCTTCAGTAGGCAGCACTGATGCTCTGTAGTTCTGACTTTTAATGATCTAGCATCTTAACAATAGGCATGTGATTTCTAGGAAAAGGGAAGAATGGAGTCAGCTGACTTTGAATCTCACTACTAACCGCATGAATTGAAATAAGGTTGACAGGAATAGGCAGAGAGAGAAGACAAATCTACTCATTAATTAGACCCCAGTTTTTCAAGTAGTGGGGAGGAGGTAGTGGCTTAACACAATCTGAAAAAGGAAGCAAACATAAATGAACCCTATGGTAGCGCCTCTCCTTGTGAGCCAGCCATTTCCTTTAATCTAGAGTTGAAGTGGCTCATTGTGTTCCTGTCTGTTCTTCAAAGTGCCCAGATTTAAAAGAGCTATTGTGGCAAATATCTAAGCCCATGTTTAATCAACATGGCACACTAAGACAGTTTTGCCTTGGGACAGGGAATAGCGTGTGCTTTATGTAGAGTGGTATCCAATAAATATTTAACATGAATTAAACTAGAGACAGTCAAATAGTAGGCTGAAATGCATACACTTAGTTGCCAAGATTTGTCTTATTTAACATTTATAAATGATTTGGGAGCAAAGACACAGAAAAAAAGTCTTTGGGTTTTTATAATGAAAAATAGACTTGCAGGCATAAAACAGAAAGCTGATCTCAAACAGTAGTTTCAAACTGAGAGGCATCACAGTAGATAAGTGCTTTTAGCCTTAGCCTTACCCTAATTTCTCTTTTTTCCCCCTACTCCAAGAGAAATTCTGCATGACAGCTCAGTTTGCTAAAAAGCAGAGCTATCTTCATTAAGTGAAGAAGAGAACCAGGGTCCCCCTGGTTGAATTCTCTTCCACACTGCTTAATGAAAACCACTATTGTACATTCTTCTCCAATGTATCATCCTAATAGTCAAAGCAAAAATAGAAAACATAACTATTCCCGTGATTCAGTGATTACTCTGTGAGAGTGAGGTACATATAACTGTATCTGGTCATGGGACCTGACAGGAATTCCTCTGGGAAACTTAGGGAGAGAACACTATCTTACTTTGTGAACCCCAGTTTCAAAGACACCTTTGTACACACTTATACAATTAAATCCATAGACCCTATGTAATTCATGTTTTATGTGGTCTTACATTTATTTTAATGTTACATAGAATGAAAGAGCTCCATGGCTCTATGTTTACCTGTTATATTTGTCTTCAGCAAATGATTATGAAGTGTTGTAGTATAATAGGCTTCAGCAACGGCCAGAAAAGAGCATAAACCATTAACTAAAATATAACAATTATATATTTCTCTTAATAGAAAAACAACAGATAAAAGAATGCTCAGATTCCCAGAGTAGATCACAGCAAGTACAATAACATAATTGAAATCTGCTTATTGTAATTTATCAATAGTAGCAAAAGTGATGGGGAAAATTGAAACAACCATCAGTAGAACTCTGTCATTTCGGTGTTAGACAGCTATTCATGTGTTCCCTGTAGAGATGAGGTGGAGTGTGTGTGCCTATGCATCCATACACTATTACATACTAGCCTTAACAGCAGCTTTCTAAATAGCACCCAAACATGCTTAAACTTGATTTCTAACCTTGCAACTGAGTAACATTCTCTGCTTTGGTGTGGATCATTCCCCACCTGGCTGTTTCTCTGCTGTCTAAATCAAATTAACTCTTATTTCAGTCCAGTTCCAAGTTATGTAAGGAAGCTGCTGCTTGTTTCTGCTTTAACATTCATGTCTCCTAAACATCTGTTTCTGTAATCAATAATCTCTATTTACTATAATTTTGTCTGTTACCAGATAGTGTTTTTATTATTAATGCTTCAGAACTGACAATATTTCAGAAACCTTGAGTTTGACTTTGTTGCTATATGTTTTTCTATTTTGACACTACTACTACATTATCTAAGCTACTGTTTTCTTCATAAAACCTGGAAATCAATGATAAAACTAGCTCCTCTTCAGTATAATCTCCAAATGGTGCTTTTCTTTTGCAAAATGTACTTATTTAAAATTAATTTTGTGATAATTGATTTTAGTTCAAAGAAAAAACTGGTAATTTGTCTGAGATCCTATTCCTTTTAACTGTGTATTATGAATAGCAGCCATTCCTCGGTAAGTTAAGAGTTGTCACCATGAAAACTATAATTGTTTGTTTGACTAGGTAGGGTGATACTTAGGGAGTCTGTTGAGAGGCATGGGGCTGTTTGCACTTGTGCTACGTAAGTTCTGTTCTTTTATAGATTTTCTCTTTTATAACTTGTTACTCATTGTCACTGCTAGATGCCATCCCTGTGCTTATTGCAGCCCTGTCCTCACCCCAGGCCTCCTTTGCCCTAATGTCCTGTTTTGATTTGTTGTGAGCTGAGAAAACACATAACTCGCTCATTAAAAACTGTTGGAGAAACTATAGATAAATAAACTGCAAAGCACAGCCTCTCTAGGTGGTTGGTTGTGTTGTTGTATTGCATTTTGCTTTCAGGTTTTAGGGCAAGAACTGCCCAAACAATTATTTTGGATATCTGAAGGTATTTTCTTTCCAGTCTTCCTTATTTTGAAGATAATAGTGAGGTGTATTTTAAGTAAATGACCCCATTTGAACAGGTCCTAAAATTTAGAATATATTTTAGACATATAATTGTTGTATGTGTTTTAATTTTGAAAAGCAAGCTTTAGTCTACCAAAAAACATAATTTTTGTTTCTGTCATTTGTCAGCTGGGTTGGACGGCTTCATCATTATTACTATATCATCGAAAACACTTTTTTTGAAATAGTTTCCTTTTCCCACCACCTTATTTTAACCCTTGATTGGCAGCATAAATACCTTTTTTTCTAGTAACTGCAGGACACCTGAGAAAATCTTGAGTACGAAAAGCTTGTCCTTCCCCACCCCAGTTTGAAAGGAGGCTTGTCCAGTGAGGGACAGACGGCAAGGAGGGAGCCCCGGGAAAGCCACTGATGGCAGCTTTGAAAACCTGAGCTCTCTGGGGACATTGTCATTTCTGTTGCCTGCAGCAGAAAACCAGTGAAGTCTTTCTTTTGCCCTTCATGTCATCATAAAGGGATCGTGTAAAACGAAGTATACTTTGCGTTTCAGGTTATGGTTTTGTCGACTTTGACAGTCCCGCAGCAGCTCAGAAAGCTGTGTCAGCCCTGAAGGCAAGTGGGGTTCAAGCCCAGATGGCAAAGGTGAGTGGAGAGCTTCGCTGCCAGCACCTGATACAGCTGCCCTCCCCCACCCTGTCTGTGTCTGTCACTCATCCCACCACCCACTGCTCCTTTTGGACATCAGTCCTGTGCCTCCAAAAACTCAGCAGTACGATTGTGACAAATACTTATTCCTTATAATTTAATGTATGAAGAATTTTAAAGTGTATGTAATTTACATAGTAAATTATTTAACCACATAAGCAAATTGGAAAAAATGCATGAAAATTTTCTCAGATAATCAGGTATATGTAAATCTTTTAAGATCTCTGCTTCTACAAAATAATTTTATAAGTTCAGTGCTCAAGGCTTAAATCCATTTTAGAGAAAATTTAAAAGATAAATGTGCACAGCACATGTTTTTTCCTTTTTTTTTTTTTTTTTTTTTTGTGGTGGCAATTGAGTCCAAGGTCTCAAACATGCTGGTCCAGTGCTCTACTACTGAGCTGTATTCACAATGCTGCCCCCCTTCTTTTTTTTAATTTTTAATTTGAGACTAGGTCTTATCCAGTTATCCAGGATGACCTCAAAATCACAATTCTACTGACCCAGCCTCCCAAGTAGCTGGGTTTACCAGCATTGCAATGCCTGGCTAGAATAGTGTGTTCAAAAGGAATATGTGACTGTTACATACATTGCTTTACACACACAATTACATAGTTTATAGGTACTGTTTTTCCTTACATCAGAGACATTTTTACACATTAGTTATAGGATATAAGTCTATTCTTTAGCAGTTCTACAAGGACTTTATTCAAAACTTGTTTTTGATGAACTTTTAGCATTTTAGATGAGGAATAATTATCCAGGTAAGAAATGTGCCTTAACTGTTTAGGAATTATAAAATGAATACCATAAGTTTTATGCTTATGTATATTTTAGTGCAGTGCATATGAATATTAACTACTCAAGGACATAATGTTTTCCTAAAACATTTTGTCTTATGATAGTTTCTCTTTAAGATTTTTGTGTAAAATCCAGAATAACATAATTTAGCAATGTGAATCAAGTTGGCCAGCTAGTCATTGTCTTTCTTTTCATATTAGGTTTATCATCTAAATTAGAATTAAAGATGCCCATCCTTTTTCAAAAGTAATGATGTCTTAAATAGATTATGTAAATTCAGATAAGCTGGCCTTGCATAATCTAAATCCAGTCAAATAATTCTGAATTTGCAGGGACTTCAGATTGTGCACCTCAAACCCACTTTAAAATAGGAATGATCTTTTTATGAAGAAAAAAACTGAGATTCAAGGAAGAGTGTAACCTTTGAATTGACATACATCTCTTAAGTGTTTATGGTCTGTAATAGACATTCCATTATACACTAAACACATCTAAGAATGTATCAACTAAACTGCTAGTTATGTTCCATCTTTAATGCACAAATGTAAGCTACTACAGTACTAAAAGATATTTACATGTGAAGATATTTATGTAACTATGGAGCTGTTTCCCCATCTTTGGTTCTTCAATTGCTATGGGAAATATTTTCAAGCCTGAAACTTGGTAGTTGGCTATTTGGAGTATTCTTTTCAAAAGAGCAATCATTTTATATTATTTGGCTTCATGAAGTACAGAGAAAAGTAATTTTATACTTTTCTCTGCTACTTGTAAATAGCACTACATGATCATTTCCTACAAAGCATTCACATGTCAAGCTTTATGGAAACTAAAGAACTCTACTCAAGAAATACATTACCTGCTAAAACCTAAACCATACCAGTTCAGACCTTACCTGCTAGGAGCTATTGAAGAACATGTGAAGCTACCAGGATAGAGATTTGCTTCAAATAAAACAATCAACATAAAGATTTCAGGAATTAATAAATGAGATCACTTTTCTAAAGCAGTTAATGCCCTATTTCTGAAGCTTCACATCGAATTGGACTTACTTTGGATCTTCTTAAATTCCAGAGTACAAATTAAGCAGAAATTGTAAATAGTAAACATCATGTTTAACTCCTTTGCTTCTTTCATGTCACAGATTTTTGGTTGATTTTTGAGGGCTTTTTGTTTGGTTTGGTTTTGGTTTGATTTGATTAGACAGATACATATCTATATCTCCATGTAATAATGTATGTGTCTTTCAATACATTTTCAGCCACATAAGTCTGTATTTACATTGTTCAACCTCAGTATACTTTAAACAAGATGTTGTACGGAAAAGCTTCAAGTTACACTTCAAATACAGTACATAGAATGTTGCAGTCATGTGCAGAGACTTTGGAAACTGCTGAGAGTCCACAGAAAGGATGTGTGCCTTGAACATTACTTGTGCATACGGTAGCAGTTATTTTCAGATGACTATACTGTTTGATGAACAGGACAGGATGCAGTGTTTTTTAAGTTTCCCAACATGATTTATTATATGTATATATTCATACATGGATATGTTATGAATGTATTTACTTATATTTTAGGGATTTGTAGGAAAATAAATTTAGTTACAGTTTGGAAGATTGGAATGATGTGTAATACATTATTTTTTCCCATTAAAATAATATGAAATATCTTTACATTTTGATTAATATCTGCTTTTCAAGAATAGGTTTTTGATAGTGTGATGTGCTTATAATTTCAATGACTGATCCTATTTGACAAAAATTGTGAGTATTCATATAACAATAAAGTTTATCCTTTCCCCTAGGTCAGGTTATTTATTAAGTTTGCTGTGGAATGGGCATTTGGTTGTTTCCTTTCTATTTCCAAAGCATATATTCTTCCCACTCTCCATCAGCTTCCTGGCTGTGGTTTCTAACTGCTCCAGATTGAGGCAGTGAAGAAGATAGGGAAGTTTGTTGACCTGAGAAGGATGTAATGGGATGTCAGTCTATCTGGCCAGGCAGCAAGGTGATATTTTCTCTCATAAAATGCTGCAGACATTTTTCTGAACTTTCTCTCCTGTCCTCTTCAGTCCCTTGAAGCTAGAGAATACTTGACCTTGGGCTCACACCCTCAGTCCCTGATAATGGAAGGCCTATCTTCAGCCTGTTCTACTGGGCTCTCCCTGCCTCTCCCGGGTAATCTTGCTCCTAACATATCCCAGGGCCAACTCTTCCAATGTGGCCTTCTTCAGCTCTGCCTTTGAAAACCACCCCTAGAACAATAGTGATTTCCCAACCACACTTTTAGACCCTTCAACCAGCCTTTCTCATTTTAGACCCCTCAGCTTTGGCCCCGTGGGGCATAGATCAAGCTTCTTGACTGGTGTGCTGAATTCCCTGTTGCTTTTCTGATAATGAACAGGGAGCAGCCAGCATGCTGAGACTCAGAACATGGTGCATTTCTCTCCACACAACTGCTCATTCTCAGCCTCTCCAGTCCCTTTAGACACAGGAGGTGGGTGCTCAGCAAACCATCCCTGCCCAGTCCTCAGTCAGCTCCTGGTAGGCTCTCTTAAATGGTCTGGTTTCCCACTCTGAAAGGTCAGAGCCCCTGGCCCCCACAGGTTTTGTGGCCTCTGCTGAAATTGAGTTAGAAGCCCTCTTTTTTTTTAGAAGAGTGCTCTGAACTAGGCTTCATTTCCAGTACTTATAATATTAAGCAGTATATTACAGAAAGTACATACTTTTGAAGAAGTTTTTACAATATATCTAGTTAAAGTGAGACTGGATTGGATGGCACTATATGATATGTCATGGGTGTTCTTTGAATGCCAGCTTCCTATGAGTTGATAATGAGCACTGTTCGCAGACCTCCTTTAGGCTGTAAATTGACAAAGAGAAATGATCCTTCTGTCATCTGTGGGGAAGACCAGTATGCAGGTTCAGAGATGCTTTAAATTGACTAGGAGAAATGATCGTTTCTTCTGTCATCTGGGAGGAAGACCAGTATGCAGGTTCAGAGATGCTGGTAATGTGCCAACGTTCAACAAGTGTAGATCCCTGTAGAATGACTTGTTTCTTGGATCTTATTTCTTTTTTATGATATCTTTAATGTTACAAACTACATTGTAAATGCTAGTGGATCTCTTGTTCTCTACTATAAAATCATGAATTTAAGTGTCTGGACTTGGGTTAACCTCCTTATCCTGTCTAGATAAAGAAGCACCTCGTCCACTTTTTTTGGAGAGATTATTTTAAAGGAAGTTTAAGTGGAGCTCCTGTGGTCCAGTAGAAAATGATGCATCACTGTCCACTTGCTACTACTGAATTAATCTTACAGTATCCTAAAAATCCCACACATTAAAGTCTTGTTTTCTTAAGTAATCAGAAAAAAAATTAAGGAGCATTTAGTTGAGGAGAGGCAGAAATGTAGTGTTGTTTGACATTGGTTAGCCGGGTTGAGAAATGACCCCACAGATACTCAAAGCTAAATTTCAAACTGCTAGTGAAAAGCATTAGAGATTAGTAATTATTACTCATTCATGTTTTAGTTTTCAGTGCCTCTTTTGTACCTGCCATACGGGAGGTAATACATTTGTTTTGTTGATAAGGGGAAAGGAAAACTTTTAGACAAATATTGAAAAGGTAAAAAGAAACATTTAAAAAGTATGACCATGGAGTATCGCAGTGAAATTTATCAAATAGAAATGGCCTTGGGCCTTTGGAAAGCCTATTTATGTTAAATTTGGCAGGTGTTTCAAATGTGTGCATTTTCAAATGAAAGACCCAGATTCTATAAAGAGAAAAGAAATGAAACTCAGTAAGATAAAACATGAAATGTGAATCAACATTTATGATACCTGTTAACAAAGAGACATCTATAGGCCTTGCTGGGAGTCAACAGATCATTGGCTGGTGGTAAACTCACTCATTTTTCCAATAAATAGGCAGTCAAACAAGCAGGAATTTAATCTCCTCTCCACTCAGAGGTCCATCATGCTCCAAGCAGTTTGCAGTCACATGCCCATGAGCAGCTATCTGCTGGTTGGTGAACCTATTCAGTACAAGAGAAAACAGATGTCTGCTCTTCCTGCCAAGTCCCTTTCTTGCATTTTAGGAACCATTCCACACGCACAGGGAGGTTTTTGTTAATTTCTTTCAGATGATGACTTGAGTGCTTTACACCATGTGGGACCTCTGAGCCCTGCTTTTCTACTCAAGTGAACATTAGTAGCCGTTTATCCCCTCTCACAGCCAATGTGGGATCTAGTTTTCCACTTGTTAGAGAAGCCCTTGAACCTTCTGTGTCTAGGGACATAAAGAGGCCTGATGGTCCAGCTTTTGTTTGGGCCACCTATAATTGACAGAATAACTCCTTCCCAGACATAGCAACTTACTACTCAGACACAATAAAACAGAATGACCGTTGTCACTGGTTTTAAAGAAACTAAATTATTCTCACTGAAAAACAATACCACTGACTTTAAGGATTACATGTCCCATTTGCTATGAATGTATAATAATGAGAATACGTGGACACTTTGGGGATTAGATATTTTTGTGGCTAGTCCTGCCAGCTTAGCGTTTCTTCCTATTCCTTTGTGTTTTGCTTTGCTTTTAACATTAAAGTTGTTACAGTGTTAGAATGAGCATTGCTTGCAGCAGGTTGAGCAATTGGAAAGGTAATTGCGTTAACTTCAATGGTCAACCCGAATAAAGAAACCTGACAGGACTTTGCTATCAAAAACAAATGTGAAAAAAAAAATAGAAAATATGTATATATACTAGTCTACTTTACATACCCCAGAATGGTTTAAGAACTCAGTTTCTTTTTGGATTCTGATTTTTAGCAGTTTTAAAATTTTTGTCTTCATTGCTAAACTTTCATATTGATTCAAAACTTTGTAGAATGTGTATTTTAAAAATATTTTAACAACAGAGGCAACAAACATAGGTCTATGAAGTAGTACTTGCATTACTATTTCCTTTTAAAAGAATAATTCATATAAACAGTTTTCCCTATGAGCACTTAAATATTAGTCATAATGCTTCATAATTACGATTTAAAAAGAAAAACCATAGAATTTTAATGCACATTTTGTATGTAATATTTTTCATGTATCTTTGCCCAGTGAGTACTTTATAACCCTTAAGGAGTTCCCCGGTTTATTCTGAGTCTGACTAAGCATGATTTAGAAATACTTCACTCCCCTGCCACTGTGCCTCCCAAACCTTCCTGCTTTCAAGGTGTGGCTCTCAAACTGCACTTCCCTTTCCTCCTACTCCTCACTCCTCTCTCAAAGACTGTGAGATCATGAGACAAATGTGACTTATTTTCCTGATTGCTTGATGGTATTAGGTCAGAAACATTCTCTATTAAAAACAAACTCCAATTGTTAAAGAGTGGATTACAGAGTTTACATGACCTCTCATTCCTTTTTGATTTTCTTCTGGGTTTTTGTTGGTGGTGTTGTGTTATGTTTTTGTTTTTGTTTTTGCTTTTTTAGCATAAGACTTCCAGAAAACTCTATAGTTCCAGCAAGGCTACCTTGGACTTTGCCTGCAACTCTTCTGGGCACATTTATTCTCCATGATGTTAGCATTTGATCAGTGAAAAATAAGCAACAATGTCTGAAATAAATTCCTCAAATGGCATTTCACAGTCGGTTTCAGCCTGTTTTCTTCTGCTTCTTCCCTAAACCCCATGTCCTCTGAACAAATTATTCCTTCATCTCCCTACAAGAATCATCCTGTCTCTTTCCCCCGTTATGATTTTCAGCACCCAGCCTTCACTACATGTGTTTCTCTCTCTACTGTTTAACTGTTAAGTGGCCAGAAGTTAAGACTCAGTTCATAGTTGTTTTACAGCAACAAGCTGGAGTGTACAGAATGCACTAGAAATGTCCTTTGAATGAAGCCCAACGTCCCCGCAGGACCAACTTTAGGGAGGAAGGACCCTGTTTACTAAGCAGGCTGGTACTGGACCAGATTTCCATAGTAAAAATTACCACCTTGCACTTTAAGGAAAGTTTGGAGACTTGGGAGTTAGGGCAGATGAGATGGCTCATCCTGGAACCGCGCAGTCAGTGGAGTGAGTTAGCACAAGAGCAAGTGAAATAGAAATAAGGGGCTGAAAGACTCCCTTTCACCTACCTCAAAAGAATTTGAAAATTTTCAGACCTAAAATGTTTGTTATTGCCTTTCTCTCTACTTTGAAACACTGTATTATTGGGTTGTATCTAATAAACAAATTGTTCATTTTTGGACATTAAAGATATATTGTACATGATTGACAATAAAAGGTTTTGCTAGACATAAGGCAGTCAGTAGTACCACACTGAACTTAATTTAATTTCAGCTAAAAACAAAGAAACTTTCCATTTTTGTTTAACCTAAGAGTGGTTGGCGAGACTGTTCAGCTTACTCATTTGAAAAATTCAGTTTTTTCTTGGATCTACTGGTGACACCCTGAGGGACTGGAGCCGCCTGTGCCCTCTACCTTTGTGACAGATCTGTTTGCACACTGCCTTCCTCTGTCCGATCCAGGGAGCTGTAGGGACAGTACTTGTTGCTCACACTTCTTGGTCTTTGATAATTTTAATTATTGAAAGTAGAAAGTCATTTGCAGGCCAGGAATTTAGCTCAGCAGCGTATAAGTGCCTGCCTGGCAAGCACAAGTTCATCCCCGGTACCAAAAAAAAAAAAACAGTCATTTGCCATTTTCTATGCCAGATTGTTGTTTGTTTATTTATGTACTTATTATTGTGCTGGGAGATAAAACACTGAGCTGTCATCCCCGCCATCCACAGATTGTTGTGTCTGTCTTACTAGCTAAACACAGCGCAAAAGATCACTGTTCCTTCTTATTTGCAGATTACTTAAAGGAAAATTTTTATTTCAAGTTAATGCCAGGGTATAATGGAAAGGCTTCATACAAATTCAGACATATATTTTTAAAGCACCATGTATTTCAAAAATCCAGAAAGTTATAATGAGTGTGCCCTGTCACCAAAGGCTAAATGATCAATTAATGACTTTACAAATAATGCTTATTGAAGAAAAGTCATAAGTTCTCATATGCTTCATATATAAAAATACTGTTCCTTTATAAGATCAAAGGAAAGACTGATTTTGAAGTAAGTCTATGCTAATCTCATAATTACAGAATTGAATTTGGACTTCGTCAGATTATTTCAGTAGTCAGGCAAGGTTTTCCCCAAAGATCTGCTACCATACTCTTCATAAATATATGTAACAGTTACGAGTTCTTAAAAAAATTGAATCATATGTCATTGGTTCTGGCTGACTGCACTCCAGCAGAGGAAGATTAGAAGAGAAGTAATCTAAGGATTGTTTCTCAAACTTTTATATCCTTGAGTCACCTGGATGCAATTTCTGATTCTGAGGTCTGAGATAGAGCCTGAGATGCTACATTTAGAATAAACTGCAAAGTAATTCCAGTACTACTGGCCTCTGGGTCACTTTTACTTTAGTAAAGATTTTGCAAACCTGCCCTTCCAATCTACTTTCAAGTTCAGCTTTTCTAGTATTCTAAAATTTACTCTGCCCAGAGTTCATCATTCTGTATGGCTTTGAGTTTCTTGTTTGGGTTATTAGCAGTCTCCCTTCTCTTTGATGATCAGTATGCAGAAGTAATGTGTATCCTGCCATAGGGCAAAGCAAGGCAATTTGCACAAAGCTGGTACTGGACTTCACATGACTCGACCCAGAATCCTTCATGTATCTCTCAGCTGAGTTATTAGGAGTAATAACCTCCTGGGCAACAGTGTGCCTGAAATGAGCTCCTAAAAATAGCAGTGGAAGAGAAGTTGGTTATTTTTGGAAACACTAAAAACTACTGAGGGTTGTGGTTTCATGAAGGCATCCTCTCCAACTCAGTGCCGCGTGCCAACAGTGCCACTTCCACATTTGCTTGGAGGACATCTGGAGGATTGTGTCTGTCTGTGCAGACTGTCCAGACTTCAGACACTGTCAGTGAGTGTCCAGCATGACCTGGGTACTCTGTAGACTCCAGGGTTTCACTAGGTAGTACTGGAAAAGGACAGTGAGGGAAGCGTCTGTATAAAAGTAGGTGTGTTAATATAAATATCAGTACTTCTGATGGAAATTGATAAGACAATTTTCTGCTCTGCTTTAGCAACAAGAACAAGATCCTACCAACCTATATATCTCTAATTTGCCACTGTCCATGGATGAGCAGGAACTTGAAAATATGCTCAAACCCTATGGACAGGTTATCTCTACAAGAATATTGCGTGATTCCAGTGGTACAAGTCGTGGTGTTGGCTTTGCCAGGTAAGCATATTGCCTTCTGTATTATATCACTGACAATAATTCTACTGAGTTATTTAGAAAATAAAAATTGACCAATAAGAGAAAATTTAATAAGGGTTATGATATCCAGTTGCACCATGAACTTAAATCATGTGTAAGTTTACATGTAAAATTTTCTAAATCTTTTATATGTTCATTAGGACTCCTGACCTGAGTACACTTAATTTTGGTTGGCTCATGTCAAGAACCTGTCATATGAGAAATAGTTTTGAAAGTATATGTCCTTGTATATTGTTAGTTGGGATCCTTGTAGCTTTTAAAAAATGACAATAGGTCTCCTAAATTTTATAGATAATCAGTGTTTTTTTTCCTAAAGAGATGGAAATTTGAATTATCATCAATAAAGTGAATTAGATTTTTTAAATTAAATATTTCAAGCATTTTAAAAAGACAAGAATGTCACTCCTAATCGCTACATAAATTTAACAATTGTTAGCATTTTACTATTCCTGCTTCCATTTTTTAAAGAAATAAATGTTCCAGTTAATTTTTATGCCTTCCTTCCCAGAAAAGATACTTGAATATAGTAGCTAATTTGGTTTCTAGAGAAAAAAAGAAACCTAAAGTCCATCTCAAAAGTTGATTTTACATGATGCATTTTTAGGAATTTATTAATACTGTGTAGTAACAGTGTCTGCGTGTTTTAAATTATTAACTTTGTGTTTGGAGGAAAACATACATCTGTGTGATATCAACAAAGCATTATTACATATTAATACCATAATTGAGGCCAAAAAGGGTCTTTTCTATTGTCATCAACTGCCAAGTCATAGCAAGGCTCCTTGGTTCTTCTGGCTTTTGGTCTACTGCTCTGATAGGCTAGACAATTTCATAATAAAACTAAAATAATCTATCAGTACTAGTCACAAAGGCCAGCATCTCTACCACATACTTTGTTGATTAAAAGAACCCAGCCAACACTGAATGATTCTGATACCTCATTGCTCCTCGGAGTGTCCTTCTGACAACAGATCAAGTGTGGGATTTCTGTACCTAAAGACAGAACCCAATTAGATTCTATTGTTTATAAAACTGTCACTATCCATTAGGATTGAGGTGTGACCCTGTGGTCTTCCAGCAGTGTAGTACATTTTGAGTAATTACTTAAGGAGTTTTTTGTTTGTTTGTTTGTTTGTTTTCCCTACTAAGGAATACTAAATCCAATTAATCTAAATCCTCAGAGTATTTCTCAAATTTTTGGCCACCTACCTATATATATAAGTTGTAAAGTTAAGCTCCAGTCTTCAATTTCTCCTTTAAAGTCAAGATGACAAAGGTTAATGAAATTCATAAATTTAATTTTAAATCTGACATGAATGTAAAAAACATACAAGGTACATCCTGTGACTGACAGTAGCTTTTGCTGTAATTCTTTAGTCTGTCATTTTGTCAATTCATAAAAAGAAAGACCATCTATTTTAGCAAGTAGGATATGTACTCATACATTAAACTGTTATCTTTAACTCAGTATCATGACTATCAAAAATTGTGTATTGATTTCAATTTTCCAACAATTAGACTAAAATTATACATTTAATATGCTTAGTATTAAGTGCTCTAAATATAATTTATTCCTTTATGATTGAGAATGTAGTCTGGGATCTGTTATTTTACTGTAGGAAGTAAAAAGAACAGTTAAGTAAAAGAGTAAACTCATATTACCATTGTTGCTAAGTCTCTTTAGTATCCAAAATGTCTAAAAGAGTATTTGTATATGTACAGAACAATAATAAAAGTGAGAGGAGGCTGGGCATATTGCGGCACAGTGCCTGCCTAGCAAACATGAGGTCAGGAATTCGATCCCTGATACCAAAAAAAAGTGATAGACCTCTAAATATTTATAATTTTTTTTTCTTACAAATAGGATGGAATCAACAGAAAAATGCGAAGCTGTAATTGGTCATTTTAATGGGAAATTCATTAAGACACCACCAGGAGTTTCTGGTATGTTGTTTATCTACAGTTTTATCAACAGTCTTTTATGTAATGTTTGTATAACTCTAGCACATGATGGCTCTTATATTAAGAACAAACTTTCATTTTCCTCATTAAAATATATTCTTAGCAACAAATTCAGCTTAAAATTTTACCCCTTTCTGGGCACTGGATTTGTCAGTATTAACTGCGGCAGACCCGGTGCCAAAGCACTGCAGCATCTGCTCCCCTCTGAGGTGTCGGCCAGCTTGAACCTGCCTGGTTGCCATCCCCGGGAAGCTTCCCGTCCTGGGGCACATCCACGGAGCAGAATGGTATCAGAAACACCGCAGCTCAGCAGCTTTTTCACACCAAGGTCACATTCACTCTTAAGTCTCAGGAAAGCTGATCTAAAATAAAGAGTTTCTTCCACTCTCTGTTTATTGGCCCTTCTTTACCTGTTTCCTATCTCAACAAAATCTGGACCTCATTTTTGAGCACTAAAACGACTTCTTTAATGGCAGCCTTACACAGCAATGCTTGCTGACTCCTGCCTGGGTTGATCGTGCAATAGTCTGCTTTCACCGCGCTGTGACACCTGGTAGCTAAAGGCTGTCACCATGGCAGATGCCATGTCTCTAGCTTGCTGGGGTCTCAGCAGCACTGGTGTTTACTTTGCCCTTCACGTGGCCTCCCTGCTTCAGTTCTCCTTGTCACCAGCCTGTGTGGACCATTGCTCAGCTCTGAGCTGGTAACTCCACTTCGCGTGTATGAACAGAACTGAGATTACTGGGTAGAAAGGCCACACTCTGCATCCCCTAACATGGGACCCGCACCTCCACCCAACACTTCTCGTGACCTTCCGCAAGCTGCAAGGACAAGGGCTCAAATCCATCTGAGGTCACATTCTCTGGGGACCTTTTCTGCCTGCTAATGCCTCTCTGTTGTATAATTTCAGTCTCTTTTGCTTGCATTCATTTAATTTTTCCTCAACAAAACCAAAAACTCCTTTTTCAGTGAGTAAAACAACAGATCGCTGGCAAGACTTAAATGTTGAGGAAATGAGAGAAATATATAACGAATACTAGGAACAAAAGAATGTGAACATAACTACTGTAGACGTTTTTGAAACCACAGAATTCAGTGAACGTCTGAGTTGCATTATGCCTGAATTTTTTAGAAAAAGACCCTCATTTGTGTTTAAAACCATTCAAGTCTTTATGATTGAAATTAAAACTAAGTACCAGTCCTCTCTCGCTGCTTCTCATGTAAACATTTTCAAATTACAGTCTTCACTTCCTTGTTTCCTGTTCACACCTCAGCACTCTCCAATACAATACTTTCCCTAAGCCATGCAGTTGACATTTGCTAAACTTACTATATTTGTTTGCTAGGGCAACAAATGTAGTAACAAAATAGCACAAACTAAGTGACTTACACAATAGAAATGTGTAGCAGCTCAGTTTCTGGAGGCCACAAAGATTCGGGTGTCTTGAAGTTGGTTCTTGCCAAGGGCTGTGAGGGAATGGCATATTCCAGGCCTCTCTGCGTGGTTTGGCGGGAGCATCCTCACTTGTGCCCCTTCTTGTCATCTTCCCTCTGTGTGTGTGTCTATCTCTGGTCCAGGTGTCCCCTTTTTCTGAGGACACTGGACATACTGAATGAAAACCTATCCTAATGGCCTCATTTTAACTTTGAAGACTCTGTCTCTAAATAAAGCTGCATTCTGAGTGATGGGAGGGTTAGAGCGCTAACGTAGCTTTTACTTTTGGAGGTACCGAGGGGACCACACAATTCAATCTGTAACACTTACTTCCTGATTATTGAACCTAGAGACTTTTTCTGCATTGTCTGTCTTATTTAGAGCTGCTTATCTTTCACTCATCTTTGAATTGTGCTTTCTATTTCTGTTTTCTTTTTTTCCTTCTCTTTTATGGACTGGTTTCTTTGATGTGCTCTTAATTTTTCAATATTTTTCTGATTCCATTTAAGTCCCTAGACGTTTCTTCCTGATCACTTCTAGACTCTCTCCTCTGCCTTCATTCTTCCTGTCACTTCTCAGTTTCCTCTTATCTCTCGCTTAGACTATGATAACATGGTCTTGATTGTCTGCTCTGTCTAATCTTAAATCCCTCAGGTAGCTCCTTATTGTAGCAAAAAAATATTATATAAATATATACCTCTGCATCAGTTTTATGCTAACAATCACCCCTCCGCCTCCAGAAGAAAAGATTTAGGATTCCTAGCAATGCACTGAAAGCCATAAGTGACTAGAGTTTTGCTTCTTTCATTTGTCTCTCTCCATTGTCTGCCTTTTTATTTTTCCTATTCCAGTACTAAACAACATGTATTCCTAATGTATCACACTGCATCATTTCTCTTTGCTTTCAGTCTGTGGTTTCTAATGGCTTGAATCCATTGGTTCCCTTTAACCTGGCTGACTGCCTCACCGTACAAGATTCTGTTCATGACATGAGTTTCCCTGCAGAGACCTCCACTGACCCAGTTTGGTTACATTGTGTCTGCAGAGCACCCTGAGGGTGCCTGCTGATAGCACAGCACTTAACCTGTTGACATGCATCAATCCCTCTAAACAGGAAGCTTCTAAAAGTCAGGAATTGGTTTCTCATCTTTTACATGCATTATCTAACATAGCGCTTGAACTGTACTAACCAACAACCAATGTTTATTGGTTTTGAATAAATTTAACTACATTATAATACCAAGACAGGACTATCTCCTAAGAAGCTTACGTATGGGTGAAAAAACTGAAATGCTTTCTGATTTGCGGCCAGCCCCTAACTGGCTGCCTGCCACCCAAGAGAGAGTCTCAAAATTTATGAACTACCTCACCTTGCTTTGAAAAAGAGATACTGATAGCGTTAAATGGGAAAAAAGAGAAAAGCACATCCACTCCTATATATCTTTTTCTCCTATAATTTTAGTCTTATGTTGCCTGATATAAAACATCTCAGTTCTGTTTCCCAGTCTATATCTGGGATAGGAAGTCTTTACCAATCCTTCGGTGTTTCATCTAACAGCCCTGCTTTTCTTCCTGTACCTGTTTGTACCCTAGAGTCAAAGTTGAGGTCTCACTGGTTAGGCAGAGGTCTGGAAAGGGAGGTCTTTTACCATACTACCCCAGCTACCTGATGATGGAGTATTTTAGTGCATCAGCGACACCAGTAGGATTTACCCCAAATATTCACGTGGGGCAGCAAGCATCTGTACTTACCTCTGAAGTGGGCAACCATAGGGAAAACCAGGAGATAAGAAAAGATCTCTCCATCAAACAAATACAGTGCCCCTTCCCTGGTAATGTGTTCAGCTATCTCCCCAATTTATATATGCAAAAATATGTAACATTAAAATAAAGGGATCCAGTGAGTTGAACTTAAGTGGCATAAAATATTGCTCAAGCCCCACCTCCTGAAAGTAAGCACAGAGGCTATACAGAGCATGTATACTAGTTTTTTACACGAGACACCACAAGCAACCACCGAGGTATTTAGAAGTCAGATTAATTTCAGCCAGGAGTCATTGAAGTGAGAGCTCCAAGGCTGTGCATGTGTCTAGTGTTCAGTATTTATTCTTCGCTAGCTCCAGGGTTTCATCCTGAACTGGATGACTGATGATGACACTTAGGGATTACTTTAATTTTCTGTATCCACTTGCGTTTCATTTCATAGATGGACTAATTTGTAAGTCTGTGCAATACCACAGGCTACATTTGGTCTTCTAACACTGAAACCTGACAGCTCACCACTTCTGTCGCTATACCTGAAGTGAACTGCCTACTAACACAAGTTTAGAGCATAAAATATGACCTGGAAAGATAATATTCCAAAGGAGCTCAACCTAGTAAGACAGCTTCCTTTCTGTTTTTTAGGTTGGTTTTATTTTCCCATTGGCAACACTTGAATTGAAAGAAAAGGAAAGAGAAAGGAATGTTTTTAGCCTCCATCCAAGTAAAGGCTAAGGAGCCTTTTGTAAACCTTGCCCTGGGAAGCTTCCCAAGTTCAGCACTGTGCAACTGGGTTTTCTCTGCTTCCCTTGAATCATCCTATGCATTCTCCAGACCCCACAGCGTGAGTCCTTGGAAAGGCTGCTTATCCACCTATGTGTGATGTCTCTACTTTCTTGGCCTGTTCTTGCAGATAGCAAGGAAAATTCGGGAAGAAAAAACATCCAGGACACATTTGTTTTGAAATTGTGTTATTCCGAGATAAGATCTCTCAGTTCCCAGAGTGAAGCAGATCTCCAGGTGTAGCGGATTGGGGTTGCACAGTTGCCTTTGTTCTCCAGAGGACTCCATGGCTATGTCCTTTGACCATTTTCTTTGAAGTAGGTTCACAGACTTGGTCACACCCATTCAAGGGGGAAAAAAAACAACCACCTTGATTTCCAAACCACATGTCAGTGATTGTAGGACCATCTGCAGCACTGGAGCAAGTAGTGAACAGCTCTTCCAAGTTGTGCCAAGTGACACATGGAGCATAAGAAGCAGACAAGTTCCATCTGCATTGTTAATGCTGGTCCAGGGGCTGCTGTTTGCAGTCAGGCTCTGCACTAAGTTCTGAGTCAGTACTTAATTTTGCGTCATTTCTGAATAATAATCTCTCCTGTACATCAGTCCTGGTTCTCATTAGGTTGAAAGTTCTTCCTGAATGGAGTTGCATTTCATTTTTAATTTCTTGCTGGGCACTTGAAGTTTGTGCATCATCCTGTAGCAGCAGAAGGTACCAAGTATTTTCTAAGAGAGTTTTTCATGTAGAGTGCGTCCCAGTCATCATGGCTATTTAGAGAGTCTTTTCGGTACCTTCTTGCATGTGAGTGCCTTTAGACTGAGTTCAGAATGTACAGTGCAGGACTTGGGAGAATGCTGTTGTAATGAATTCAGCTTTCCCCAAAACAAGTGCCTTGTATACTTGAGAACTCACAAAGGATATAAAATAATTCTCAGCTCTGCTAGACTTTGTTCTTTTTCTGTTCTCATAATATGAGAACTGTCTTTGAAGACTAGTCACTTT